ATCAAAAAAGTACTCCAGAGTGTTGTTCAGCATGGGGGTGAGTAGAAAATGAAGGCTAATCATGTTTTGGGTGTACTATTCCTTTAAACAGTGTTTAGTTGAGCCATACTCTTTCAGGTTGTGTTACTTCTAAGAACAGTGAATTTTATTTGAGAAAAATTGAGTTAATATACTTTCCAGGTCACATTAACGCAGGAAGGGTCCCTTTCATGCGGTTTGTTTGTTTAAAAAAGATACAAAGTGTGAAAGAAAAATGAAAGGAGGGTAAATACTTTAGCAAGGCAATGCTTATATCATACAGACATGTTTACAGATTAAATATCTGCGCCAGCTTTTGTTTGAAATGCTTAAATTCTTTAACCAATGAACACTTCGCGCCATACAGTCGGTTATTTGTACATCTCTGCAGGAATGGAAATTTACCAGAAGCAACCTATTGGATGTGATGAAACCGTTTCCTGTGCTTTACGCAAAGGAAGCGGAGCCCTTTGCGGGGGTTTAATGTGGCCTGCCTCTCAGTGTTTTACAACTTCACACAGCAGCGGCTGTTTTTATCCAAGAGATGGTCCATTAACGGGAGGAGGAGGAGGCGGGATGCATCATGACTGGCTTTGGCAGACTCTCCCTACACATGATGCTCCTCGGTGCAGGAGGTGCAGCTCTGGGGCGACTGTTTCCAAATACTCCCTCTGTCTCCATCTGCTGGAAAGAGCTGCTGGACCCGAGCAGTAACCGGGAAACGGCGAGTTCAGGTGCATAAAGGAGACACAACCCAAAAAAAAAAAAAAAAAATCTGTTTATTTACCTTCGCTCCAAAGTATTTGGGTCATTAGGAGGAATTAAGGGGAAATGAGAGCTTCTGTGCTGCGTCCGTCATCCGGGTTCGCTTGCACCGCTGAATTTCCTCCACACCGCAGTCAGTGAAAGCAGCAGCAGCCGGAGTCGTCGTCCCCCTCCCCTCACCCACCCCGTGAAACCATCACGGCGCCGAGGCCAGAATCGCATGGAAACATGGCCGCTATGAGGACTTTAACCGTAGCGGGGCTGTTCTTGGCGTTCTGCGCGCTGGGACTGATCGCGGTGGCGATCAGCACCGACAACTGGTACGAGACGGACGCCAGGCGACACCGGGAACGCTGCAAGAATTACTCCAACAAAAGGAACGACCCGGGCTACATCTACATCTCCAACAACAACCTTCCGCTCCGCATGCTGCCCAGGGAGAAACCTGCGGAGAGGAAGGGCGACATTCTCCTGCGAGCCAAGAGGCACTTCTTGCCTCCCGCTTCGGCCATGGAGTCGCTTTGCAGTCGGCACTTCAACTCTACCATCACCGGCCTGTGGAGGAAGTGCCACCGGGAGGGATTCGACCGAGAGATTGAGGATTTGATCTTTAAAGGTTCGGGTTTTAATTTTTCTTGTTTTTATTTTGGGCTCTTTGAACGGGAGGCGCTGCGCGGTGGACTTTCGCTATCCAAGGTGCTGATCCTGCGCACAGAAACGCCAAGGCCTCGACGCTGAAAAAAAGAATAATGCAACATTTTTTGGCATTTTACTTAATCACACTTAGTTACTTTAACACATTTATTATATGTCCTATCCTGCTAACAGGAAATAATAGTGTTAAAGTAAATAAAAATGATTAAGTAAATGCCAAAAACGGTTGCATTATTTTGTTCAGTGTACGCAGCAACTAGCCTCCTACAAGGGGTAGAGTCACAAGGCAAAAACATAAGGCTTTGTGTTTTCTTTTTTTCTCAAACACAGAAGGATGAGTTGTTGTAAAAGAGGCCTGGGAATGCGGGCAGAAAGCTACGCTACAACTGTGTGTATTAATGTATAATGGATGGATGCATGATGGATGGATGGATGGATGCATGATGGATGGATGGATGGATGAATAGGTGTATGGATGGGTGGATGGATGGATGGGTGGTGGTGGAACGGAAAGGGGGAAGGAGGGAGTGTGGGAGGGAGGGTGTAGCAAAGAGTCTTGCCATATCCTCCCCACCTGATCTGAGTACTAATCCCAGGCATCCTCTTTCTGTTGTTTTTATCCTCAGGATTAGTACCGCGCTGCACAAGCATAAAATACTACTACTCTTCAGCAGCACTGCCCAGAAACCTGCCAATCAATCTAACTAAGACCATCAGGCAGGATGAATGGCACGCACTCCGTGAGTAGACACCATATGTTATTATTTTCATACTATTAATGTGATAAAAATGAAAGTCAAATGGGATGTTTTTTTTCTTTATTTAGACCTGCAGAGGATGACTGCCAGCTTCATTGGCATGGCTATATCCATCATCCTGTTTGGCTGGATTATAGGCGTGCTGGGCTGCTGTCAGGAGCATGATCTGATGCAGTATGTGGCTGGACTCCTCTTCCTCATGGGAGGTAAAATAGTCTTTAAGTTAAAACAAATCCTGCATGGAATCACTGCGGAGGGGCGGTGTGGTCTCTCTGCTAATCAGAGCGGTTTGAAATGTCTCGTTAGAGGAGACTAATCGGCCGCAAGGGCTTCATTACCCATTAAAAACAAAACGTGGGCAGATCCACCATATTGTGAGTGGCAAGTTCATATTAAAAACAAAGGTATAATGGATGAAAAAACCCTCACTATTAGATACATAGATAAATCTATCTATCTATCATCTAGATAGATAGATAGATAGCTATCTAGATGATAGATAGATACTGTATGTAAAGTTTTGTAATTTTGAATAAATATACTAAATCTAGTCCATCAGCGGTAAAGCTACTATACTTTCTCCACAGCAGTAAACATATTTCTTCTGTACAAGCGGACAGTACAGAAATGTTACCAGATTTAGTACAGCTGTATGAAAAAAATGCCTTATAGGGTATCTCAACAAAATAGTAGTAATGAAGCTCTGATTGATTTCAATCCTATTAACAGTCAGAAGCTATACATTAGTTATTTTGAATTGTTTATAAAAATGTTTTGACGTTGTCTGTTTAAAAAAAGGGCTATGAGTAAAAAGATCCTGTCCACTTTGTTTTTTTCTTATAATCATAAGTGATTTAACTATTTTAAAGGAAAAGTC